AAGGAAATCCTAGGCTAACACAAAGGAACATAATTAAGGTTAGCTGAAGTTCACCTAAAAAGGACAAAAGGAGGAAGAGTTGCTAATGTCCTTCTCAAAAGATCATTTTAAACATTGTATTTTCAAAAGGAGCCACAGTGGCTTCATTCTTCTGCCTCCTGCTAAGAAGAATCCAGCTTCACTTAATCACAGAAGAAGTGCAATTGTCAAATTGTCAAAGAGGTCTCCTCACTCACTTAGCTATTTAACTTTCTTTTAACAAAACTGCTAACAGCAAGGAAGACTGCTATATACTTAAGATAAACGTAATTATAAGGCTTGAAGAAACTTCAGAAATTATTGTACCACAGCATGATAACAAGTAGGTTCTGTAAGAATGCTCTTAAAACAAGAGCAAGAGACTTACTTTTCCTTTCCATGTCTTGGTTATTTTTCTCTGTTCTTAGATCACTAACATCACTATCAATATTTGCCCTTTCTTCTTGCAAATGTTTCAGCTCTTTGTTAACAGCATCAATTTGTGGCTGAAGATTTTCAGAGACCATGGTTGAGAGCTCACTCTGCCAGTCCTCTATCATCTTACGTGTGTTGTGTATTTTTTTCTGTCTGTCCATTTCTTCATCTTTTTTCATTCTCAAAGCTTGATTAATTTCTTCAATCTTAAAAACATTTAATATTTCCCACATTAAAGAAGTTTAGTATACAAAACCTGGGAAAACTAAGACATCCATGAAACAGATATTAAACGCTGATTTTAACTGTGCACTAAAACTGTGAGAGACTGTTCTAGTGACAGTTTAAGAACTAACAAGATTTTGTTACAATTTAGACTGTTTAAGTAAAACTACAATCAAGCCTTTCCATTTTTTTTTAAATTCCTTTATTTGTACCTAACCAGAAGCTTAAGAACTCCCTCAATACATTTCAAACTGCTAATACTGCATAAAGTTGCAGGAAGTGCAACTTTAGCTCTGCCCTCTTGTGTTCAACTCTGGCATTTCTTGATGGTGTACTCAGATGAGTTTCAGTAACTCAATTTTGCAGCAATTTTTGAGTTCTGTTTTTAAAGGATGCTAGATGCATATTCCTAGTTAAGAGAAGGAACRACTCCAGCCTCTCACATGAAATATTTGAAGGAACATTCAATGCTGAATGCATTACTTTAGTCGTCTAGCTTTCAGCCCTAATAGTTGACAGGAAGGCTTGTAAATGCATAGTACATATGCACAACATCAATTCTGAAAGTTCATTTCATCCAAGTAAATGATTTAAACAACATAAACCTCTCTTGGTGATACCCTGTTTTARTAATTGGCATTGCTTTGCCACAGTACTTATGTTTTGGCTGGAAGATACAGAGATTCAAAGTGCACTGAAGGGAGCAGAGTGCTTCAAAGCTCTTCTAACCTCTCCAGGTAGACTTCCCTATCCAGTGACAAAAGAGCAGACTGTATCTGTGCATGTACATATATGTACAGGTATACACACATACACACACACACACACATCACCACAGAATTTGAAGAGCAGTACTTTTCTTAAATGCAGKATGTGCTACATCCAGAATTGAACTATTACATTAGGAAGGAAGCACCAAAAAAGTAATATCAATCAAGACTCTTACATGTTTATCTTTCTTCTCCAAAGCATCTTGCTTTTGTTTACATTTTTGGGAAGTGTCTTTGATTTCAGCAGCCTGCACACAAAGACATAAATTAGACAGTTGTATAAATTCAGTTACAGCTATATTTGTAAAAAGCATCCAGTCATATTTTTAAGGACATTCTATACATGCATAAATAAGTACTTATGCCACAGCTCAGTACAGACAAAAGCCTACTCATCAGTCTCTTACAAATCCTACTTGTATCACACGTGTATTCTGAAATTTGTGAAAAACTGAATACTGGCTTTTCATCTATTCACAATATATTCACAATTTCAGCAAGAGATCTGCAAATTCAGACATGACAGCTAAAACAAGTCTCATAACCCTGTCTTGATTTCATTAAAATGCTTTACAGTTAGATCCTTACACTTCAGAATGATCATCTCGCTTTCAAAACCAATTTTACCATAGAAATCTTAGATTTAACAAACAAAATGTAATTTTACCATGAACTTAAGAGTAAGAAAAGTCTTACTTCCTAGGGCCAGGAACAGCGAAAATAGCATTTGTAAAGGTCATCTTACCTCTGGAGCTTACCATGCTAGAGCTACACAGCTGAGCATGGTTGACACCAATGTCTCTACTCTTTTCCTACTGCTTTCAGTTTTCACAGAATCACAGAATAATTTTCGTTGAAAGGGAGCTCATCCTACCCACATCCAGCTCAAAGTAGGTCTTACTAGATGTGGCTACTCAGACACTTGTGTGGTCAAGTCTTCACTCTCGTGGTTTAAAAAGAAAAAGGAAAAAAAGAAAAAAATCCCACTATCTCATCGGCATTTCCCATTTTCYAGCTTATGTCCATTGCCCATCATCTCTTTTACGACCTGTCTCTGCGACCCTCTCCTTTCCTCTAGGAAGAAGGGAAATGAGTAGGAGCTTGGAAGGCCCATGATATCTCTTTGCCTCAAAGGGCTACCCAGAAAAAGAAGTGAGAAGGGAAGAAAATAACTCGGCAACATGTAGATTTCTGTTAAAGTGGCAGTAAGAGAGCACAGGAACTAAGCTGCAGTGCAGCTAAAGTTAACTGAAAAAAAAAAATTCATCTGGAAAAATTGATCAGAAAAAGCTACTAAAATTGCAGAATGGATAAACACTTTGGAAGAATGTGCACTGTGCTTTGCTATAAGTTTAACTTCTCCTTCCACAGAGGAATGGAAGCACTTTGGTTAAATTCAGCACAAACTTAAAAAAAAATTTATAAAAGAAAAAAAGAAAAGAAAAACACAGGACCCTTTCACAGGGAGGAATTGCTTCCTACAAAGAGTCACAACCTAAAACACAACAAGAATTGAAAAAAGTAATAAAAAATGCAGAATCTTTCCTCTCCCACAACCTAAGAGTAATATTTTGACTCTGCAGTTGTCTGCATGATGTCAATGTGGAACAATAGAGCGTGATCTTGCAGTTGACTGCAAGAATATTGATTCCATGCTGCTCTTTCCAAAGATCTCTGCTAGGCATTCTCAAGAGAAATGTCTCTCCTGGGAAACAGTCAGCTGCAAAACGATCAGAAAACTATTCTGAAAGTTTTCAAAGTCAGAACATTGGGAAAGAAGTCAAATTGAGTTTTTCCGATTGTCATACACTTTTATGATAGATTCTGAGAACAGGGGCTGATTTTGTTTTTGATAGCATGACCACAACACACCGTTTATACTGACAAACACTGCTCTAAATAGCATTAAGTAGCCCATGCTGCACAAATGCCTTTAAAGGACTTGGAGGGGAAAAGATTCTAGGCTTCTCTTCTGAAATTTTATCACCCTCTCCCTGCAAAATGGGTTTATCTTTCTTCACAACACCTCAGCATCCAAAGCACAGTTTTCCTGGCTTTATTTAATCTAACCAAGTCCTTAAAAGGGCTTAAAACAGAGAAGGTCAACAGAAGCTGCCACACAGCCTGCAGATGCATTAACTGCTTCCTGTATTTAATATGTCTTTACCTTCAGTCTGACTCCTCTCAGGCAAAATTTGCAAGTGTGTTGGCCCAGTGTTCAGCAACGAAGTCCAAGCAAGCCGTGCTGCAGAGCTGGCTTTTCGCTGCTCTCACAAAAACACCCTCCAGCAAAGCTTTACGAGCTCAGGTTTACAGTCAGGCTTACAGTTATTTGATAAGTGATATAAGCCTGGACCCAAAGGCCTAAGGAAAGCTGGGTAACCTACAGGTCTGTATGTTAGACAGGACTTCTAATGTTTCTATGCTGACAGGACTGCTTACGCTTATTGTCAAGCTGAAATTGCATTTAAAAAACCACTTTTATGCCAAGCACGCAGTTGTTTTTATTTCATCATAAAATCACTTATTAATCAATTCATGTTGGTCATAGAATAACTATCTTCAACATGCTCATCAAATGTTTCAGTTTCTAAGCTGCAATCAATTCTTGCAATCTCTGAAGAAAGGAAAAACTTCTGCAGAAGCGCCAATTCAAGCAATTTTAAGGTACATTATTTAAAAGCCTCAAGGCCTTGCCTTAGGTTAAGAATGATCTTGTGAAAGCACAGGTTCTGTATCAGCAAGGAATTGACTCCACTTTCACAGGCCGGAAAAAAAAAAAAAAAGGTATGGGTGAGGGAACCCCAAGCCCTTCAAAAGACCTACTACATTATGAAAGTTCAAAAAGTATCAATATGCCTATAACATAGCAATTTGTAATAATATCAAGAAAAGAGTCTGCCTAGATTAACAGACAGCTGATAACTTATCTGAAGGGTATCTCTTAACAGAAAAAGAGCAAAGAAAGATGTGTAATTATCCTGAACATCTTGGTATGTGTCTGATGTAATTCTAGCATCCATGGCACAGCCAGGCACACAGCGCATTGCCTTACATCTCTCTCCTCTATGCCAAGATTTTTCACTGTGTACAAATCCTTCAGGAGAAGAAAATATACACCTAATACACTCTCCAGGCCTAAAGAGATACCACCTTGGCATAAAACTAACCTTGGAAATGTTTAGTGTAGTCTTACATTCCGTAAGTGTGAATTCAGCAAAGAAACATGTTGATTCAAGCATTCAGGCAGATCAGCTAGCACATTCTCCAATTTTGCTTCCACAGTTCTCTAGCAAATAATCTATCATAGGGAAGCTCTTTGCAAGTTTAAAATGCTTACTTTTTCTAGGTTTCTAACATAAACAGAATGTAACTTCTACATTAAGATAGCCTAAGACTACTATAAATTGAAGCAACAGCAGAACTTCTTCCTGATTACAAGAATATATCACTAAAATATTAATTAAAAATGAGTGATATAATTAAACCCTAGCTGTGGAAACAGAGCTCAGGATTTAACAAGCATGAAGGCCTTTAGTGCATTATGAAAATTAATCTCAAGCTTTCAGCTGCTAAATTCCCTCTAAGGAAGCACATTTACCATCCACTATTAAAAAAAATAAATTCAAAACTTAAACTTCATTTAAAGTGAAATATTTTAAAAATCACAGTCTAATAAAATCTTAAGCTACCAGAGAGCACATAATTCAAATATTCTTGCAAGTTTTCTTCTTAAAGGATCCATCCAGAAAGAACTTTTTTAATGATAATATACTGGCCAAACTAGTATCAACTGGTCTGATTTATAACACACACTTGAACAAAAACTGCAGTGGACACTTGAACACACACTTGAACAAAATCTGCTCTTATTACAGAAGGCCTATCTGCTAAAGGATAAGTTTCACAGAAAACTACACTAAAAGCAGATACTTTGGTCTAATTTCTTTTTTGCAGCAGCAGCTTGTATGTAAAACATTGCATGATTACAGGCAATCTTTCCTCAAAAAGCTCATCAAAAAGCTGATACCAAGCTGGGAGGAGTAGCTGATAGCCCTGAGGGCTGTGCTGTCATCCAGAGGGACCTGGACAGACTGGAGGACTGGGTGGTGAGAAACCTCATGAAGTTCAACAAGGGCAAGTGCAGGGTGCTGCACTTGGGGAGGAATAACCCCGGACACCAGGACAGATTAGGGGTGGACCTGCTGGAGAGCAGSYCYGCAGAGAGGGACCTGGGYGTCATGGTGGACGACAAGWTGACCATGAGGCAGCAGTGTGCCCTGGTGGCCAAGAAGGCCAACGGGATCCTGGGGTGCATTAAGAAGAGCGTCTCCAGCAGGTCAAGGGAAGTGATCATCCCCCTCTACTCAGCCCTGGTGAGGCCACATGTGGAGACTGTGTCCAGTTCTGGGCTCCCCAGTACAAGAGGGATGTGGAGCTGCTGGAGAGAGTCCAGCGCAGGGCTACCAGGATGATCAGGGGCCTGGAACATGTGCCCTGTGAGCAAAGGCTGAGGGAGCTGGGCCTGTTCAGCCTGGAGAAGAGGAGGCTGAGGGGGGACCTGATCAGCGTGTATAAATACCTCAAGGGAGGCAGTGAGGAGGAGGGGGGCGGCCTCTTTTCAGTGGTGGACAGGGATGGGACTAGAGGAAACGGCCACAAACTGTAGCACCAAAAGTTCCACAGCAACTTAAGGAAACATTTCTTGACTGTGAGGGTGCCAGAGCCCTGGCACAGGCTGCCCAGAGAGGCTGTGGAGTCTCCTTCTCTGGAGATATTCAAAACCTGCCTGGATGCCACCCTGTGTCCCGTGCTCTGGATGTCCCTGCTGGAGCAGGTGGGTTGGACTAGATGATCTCTAAAGATCCCTTTCAACCTCAACCATTCTGTCATTCTATGAAAAGAATCTTCTTTTAATTCAAAAGAAGATACTAAGCTGATCGACATAGGTAATCATTTGAATATTCTTGTGAGTAAAATAATTTAAAATTGATAGACTTATTCTCTATTAAAAATGTTCTACTTATACATGATTAAATGCTGAGGAAAGCATTTAGGCAAAAAAATATGTATATTAGCTTAAATTAGCAGTCTGAATTGACTAAATTTTCAGAAGATACTGATATGGAGTATCCACAACCTGAAAATACGGAACACATCATATTAAAAAAAACAAAAACAAACAAACAAAAACCTCACACAAATAATTTAGCACAGATATTTAACTTAAGGAAACTGTAACAGGATGTCGCTGAAGATTTTTATGGTTCTATGGAGAGAAACTCTAAAMAGTGTCTGTTCTAACAATGCCAAGAGTGCATTTTTAAAGCAGCTATCAAGGGTTTATTAAGAAGTGCATTCCCTGAGTTTCATTGCTTTTAATGGAATGGGGACACAAAGCAGTGAGAGTCAAGAGTACTTCAAAATAATTCTTTTAAAAACAGCATGTAAGAGTGGGAAGAAAGATGTTGTTGCTTTAAATTTTACAAAGCAGAATGGCTACAGTGTTAAATATACCAAATTCCAAGTACCTACCTTATCTCTAATTTTCATATCAAGACTTTTGTAACGTTCCTCAATTTCTTGAATCTTTTTCGCCACTGGAGCCTGCATTTCTTTCAGATTCTTTAGTTCTTCCTTAGCCTGATCACGACTTTGTTTCACTTCTTCATGCTGCTGACGAACATTTTCATATTCCTTGCAAGAGTTTCAAGCAGAATAACAGATTTTGACTTCTAATCCATGTGATTTGATACTGCTCTAACATTTCATTTCATTGTACATGAGTTTGGAGAGAAAAATCTCAGCTACAATTAGTATATCACTTAAATAAGCCTCCTGTTATTTTCCATATGCGGAAAAGATCATTTAGTCCCCAATGAACTGCACACATTTTCAATGCTTTTCTAGTAGTAGGCCATTCAAGGAGCAGAGGAAGCAACCAATTTGTCTGCAACTACCTTGCCCCTAAGTCCATCTTGGGTCAAGTTGGGAAGACTAGCTCTTTAGTCCCTTCTTCCCATAGTCTGAGCACTACTTACGCAGAAATCCTGAAGCTAAGAGGCAAATAACCATAAAAAGCTTTGGAAGGAAGAGAAGGCAAAAGAGCTAGATAGACCATTCAGACCAGCTATAGACACTGCCCTATGGTAAACTAAAGAGACAGAGAGAGAAATAAAACTTTGAGGGGAAAAAAAATCATAAAGTCATTGGGGAGCTGAGAGGAAAAATTACAGTAAGCAGCGCAGTGAACAAGAACTATCGTTACCCAGAACACAAGAGTTCCTGGTGAAAAACAGCTAAGGCTTTGAGAGAGTAATTACTACTATTATGAGAAACAGGCATTTTTCTAATAAGGCATGGGGTGTTAAGCTAGCTGGAAAAAAGATGTTTGAAAACATTACGGGAGGAAGAGCATAAACCTGGATTTCTCCAAGCTTGCAAATTCCATCTGAATCAGCTAATTTTGTCTTACCCTTCACTACTGTTTCCTTAGCTATTTAATTACTCTATTTACTATTATACACAACTAATCAATACTCAAGTTATTAAATCATTTTTTTAAGAGCAGCTTTTTTTTTTTTTAATAAATCCATAAGCTCCTTCAAGAAAGCAGCTGTCATTCACAGACAAGGGGCCCCATCAGCAGCCACCATCACAAATAGCTGCAAAGTTAAAGCAATTAAACCTCTACTTGATTAACAAAAAAAAGTACAGGATTTAGCCATATTTTAAATAAGACATCATATTTCAAAGCTAAAGCAAGAAAACACACAGTGGCACATATTTCTTCAGACTCGTGAATTTTTTTTTTAGAAATTGCTTTTTCTAAAAAAAAAAAAAAAGAGAAAACTCATTTAACACCTAAAGAAAATCTGATTTTCAGCAGACCTATGTATTTTGGTAGTCTTTAAGCAATTAATCTTGATCCTTTCTAATTATGCACTCAGACAGAGATCTGCAGAACTCCTGAAGCATTTCATCCTTCCTTTCTCAGTTCTGAATGGAAAAGGAAGAAAATAAGAGTGGGATGGCTTGACTAAAACGAATTTTCAAAATTATGGTTTTCCAGATGTTTGAGGAACAAAACCTCATGCCTCTACACTACGTTGAGAGAGATGCTTTCAAATACACCACACTACCTAAAGCTTAAGCTGAAGGGGTGTGAAATGCCTCTTCTTTAAGAGTTATTCAGGAAAGATTACGTCAGAAAACTTGTAGTTCCTTAAATCTGCTCATTAGCTGTAGTTATCATTAAGATAATTTGATTTAAGGCTCCTTAAAGTACAGAAAGAGTCCTCTAAATGTTTGAGTTCAAATTCTTTTTTTCTTAAAACACTTCTAGGACATATTGTATGAACTTTAAAGCAGATGCTTAACAGATATGTCTAAACACAGGCATATTCAAACCATGTATTAGGAATATAATAGTTAATGGCAATAAATCTCCACATAGAATTAGCTAGCTACAGCATTTGACTATAAAAGTACTCCAGAGTGAAAAGCAGTGGAGTGTTCAAAAAACAAAATTCAGTGATGAAATAGAAAGCTTTGTTCAGCTATAGACTTGCTCTTTTTAAGATCAAGAGAGAATCTACTATCACCAAAACAGTGAGTGGCCTATTTCAGTTGATCTTGTTTTCAGTGTTTTCTCCATTGTGTTTGTCTCCATTGTGTTTGTGTTACTTACAGATCTGCACACTGGTTATTTTGGAGGCTCATTTAGCATTTCTGTTCTGTTAGAGAGGCACTTACAAACAGCAACTTATGTTGGATCTACAACTAGAATCCTTGAATACCTTGAAACGGATGCTCTTCAAGATACAAAGGACAAACATCTCTGCATACCCATAGGAGGCTTTCTTATTTGAAAACTGCTATGAAATGCCTTAAGGAGATTTCTKTATCTACCAGCAAGTATTATCTGAAAGTTTTTATACTATATGTATTTTATGAAATACAGATCCAGAAAGTATGCAAATGGAGCACACAACATAGTTGTTTACTCAGCATAGTAAAAGCCACATCAGCTTGAACTGCTGCTTCATTCTCAAAAAGAAGCCAGAGATCATTTAAATTAAGCAGTTATCTCTGCAAGGAATAACAGAAATACTGCTTTTAGCCCATTTTGATGGCTCTTCTAAATGGGCAGATATTCCTTAAATTTATTTACACATGCAAAAAAACCTCTGATCAAATATAGGACAAAAATAATATATCAATGACCTATCCTGTTCACGCCAAGTAATTCTGATGATATTCAAGCTATGCTGGTAAAGATATTTTTAAAAAACTGCTGGCACATTACCAATACTGCAGTTTTAGGGCAAAATGGTTAAATTAAAGAAACACTGAAAGTAAACCAAAACCTTACCACCCAAGGCCTTTTCCTCTCAAGCATCTCAATTAAGTCAAGATGACGCTTGCGTTCATGGTACCTCTCAACATCTTGTTTGTATCGCTCAATCCTTTGTCTCATTTTCTCCAAAGAATTACTTTTCTCTTTGCACAAGTTCTGTAGGAATATATATTTTCATATTTTACAATATCTACTCTTTGAAAACATTTTCAGAAATTATGCACATCTCATTCATATATTAGCCAAGCAAGATGTTTTAGTACAGCAATAAGTATGGGGTTATCCAAATAAAATCCAAATAAAATGGATACCTAAATAAATCCAAATAAAAACAGATGTCCATTTTTTCCAAGCACCTTTATGGTACTTCAAGTATGGTACCCATATTTTTTGTCAAGGCATAGCTAGCAGCAATCTTAATCTGAAGCAAATCTTTTTTAAGGAGCTTATTCATTTTACACTGAAGTTATTCTCACAGTTCAAACTTCCATTAACCTAGAAACTGCTAAACAGCTTTAACTGATTCTACTTTGTTAGAATCTATGAAAGAATCTTATGAAGGGTTCTGTACAGATCAGTAACAGAAATATTAAGGTTGGGAGAATATATGAATGAAAAAACATGTGCATGTATAGGCACAAAAAAAAAGCCAAATAAAGGACTGTAAGAATGGTTTGTAGATATAAAGAAGGACACTACTACTAGCTGTAAAATTCAAGAACATATTATTTCTGTCAACATCAAAAAGGCTGTGCTCTAATAACACAGCAGAGTCAGGACCTCCTACTTGTAAAAGGAGGAAGGCAGCAGGTTGCAACATATCGTATAAACTGGATATTTTCTCATTAACAGTCTAAACAAAGGCAAACAGACAATGAGCAGCAATTTTGTTCAAATATTTAGGAAAGCTGAAGACAACAAGACTGAGGTAAAGAATTGCCCCATAACAGCTGATATATATAAGGGGTATAAAAAGTCTACCGTGAAAACATTTTGCTACTGCCAGTCACAAATCCCAGAGAAACAACGAGGATCTAACAATCAGCACCCTACCTGGCTACCTGTGTACAGACCACTTGGAGAGATATGTGCCAGCACTTGTGAGTATGCGTGTGTGTATATGAATGAAACTCAAGAGAAAACAAGCATATATAGATAAAATCAACTTACTTGCACACTTAGTAAACAACTACTCTTCTGTAAAATCTCACATTCAATTTTATTATGCTAATTTTCCTACAGTTACTTCCTTGTGTCTCTATAATAGGTATGTTTACCTCGAGTTCTCTTTCTTTTTCCCTGAAGTTCTTAAGTTCACAGTGAAATTGATACATTTCTGGAGGACCAATAGATTTTTCAGTGGCTTCAAGCAATTCAATCTTACTCAGTTTTGCAAATTCTCCAACTTTGTCCTACAAAATAAAATATTACAAAAATACAGAATTAGAATAGTAAATAAAACAATGCTGGATTAAAATACAGCAATTATCTGATTTAGAGTGCCATTACAGATAGCCCTGAAAGTTAAGCACAGCATCACTATCTTATCAAGCAACAGTCTCTAACCGTCTTAAGCATCTGTAGGGGTTTCATATACAGTTTTGACTGAGCTTAAATCTTTGCTGTCCCTATCCTCAGTTGTTTGACTTTGAAAACACCTTCTGAAGTACTTGGAAGATGGGGTGGGGGTAAAGACAGCAATATTGCTTGATTTTTGCCTTGTTTTGTTTGCTTTTTCAAATTCACTACCATTGTCCTAAACAAGACAGTTCAGATAATTTCGGATTTTATTTTGCCGAATTTCTCACGTTGCTTATCAGATTTTTGAGGCCGCATCTTTCCAGGATAAATGCTATAATTAACTCAAAAATTAAGTAATATGAAACTTAAGCTTAAGTGTGTTAGCCAAGTACATCAGGGACCACTGCACCATTGCCGCTAAAGTACAGTAAGAGCTCAAAACAATATGGGAGTGAATGATATGCTTCCCATTGCTACAGTGACAAAGAATGTCTTGTGAATGCTTTTCCTTCAATAAAAACACAAACACATATTTGACTAAGCTCTGACAAGGTGTCATTTCACTACCACTTTGTATGATCTACATGAACTGGAAAGGACTGACGAAGGAGCCCATCATAACATCTGCTAAAATGCAACGGTGAGGCAACTTAACCATCTGTACAAAAGCCTTAACCTGCCCAAGCATGGATGCATTAATCTACAGATGATGTATGCAGCATTTTTCAATCTTCTCCCTSCCTTAGAGGCTATCAGCATAATTCTACTTAATTCACACTCAGAAAATCTTTAAATTCTGCCTATTCTCAAAAAGCTATTAAGCCACAGAAGTTAACCAACCGGTCTGTGGTACCAGCCCTTTTGCAGCTGCAGACTCATTTAACAGAACTGCCTCCACATTTTTTTTTTTGGCTTTTTGGAAAATTAAATCTAGACAACTCTGCCCCTTCTGTTACCAAACAAATACAGGATCTAACCTTGAAAAACTGACTGGATGAGATGCACATGCAGAGATTGACAGGGAAAGTCAGCAACACAGGCCCACAGAAGCCATGCAGATGAAAGCACAGAGAAGATGCTGGGAGACTTCAAGACTAGCTACCCCCCATTTTTGCCTTCAGAACTCTTTTACTCTCTAAGAACATCAACAGCAGAAGCAGTGGGATGGAGAGACCTCACTGCCAGCATTTGCGGCCCAGGCAAAAACCTTGGGAATATCTGTGACTTTCCTCATTCTCAACTGACAGCATGTACAGAAGTGTCTAATTATAAAGTCTTATAAGGCGCCTTTTAAGCTCACATATTTCTTTCTTTCTTTCACCACTACAACAGTATGGCTACCTTTTCCCTCTCATTCTTTTTGCAGTCCTATTAAATTGAAGCCACACTGCAAGATGAAGCAATTAGAAGCTACAAAACCCTCCCAAAACACAGCACTTGATTTGCATCCACCGTCTTTTAAAATTCTTTAATACCTGTGGAAGAAATTGGCATAAATTGCCCACTTGGATATTTAAGGCTGTAATTTGTTCTTCTACTGCTTTCAAGGTTGACGGCTTTCTGTTGATGAACCATGTTGATGTGTTGTTCACCACTTGAATTTCCCGTGTGATAATTATATTGCTACGTGGCTGGAACCTGATAATAAGAGGAGCATTTGTAGTTTTGAGAGCACATAAATATTACTTAATCTCCTATACCTAACAACATATGTTAAAAGCTTGTACTAAAATATGTAACATATCTAAATGTTTGCTATAAAACAACTAGATAGAAATTCAAATTCCATGTTTCACATAATGGTCAGTACTTTAATGATTAATTAATCTTGTCAAGTTGCCTGTAGAAAGTCCCATGAAAGTCAAGAATAACTGCAAATCTGGGGTGCATCATTAAAAGCATTGCCAGCAGGTTGAGAGGCAAGTCCAGAAGTGTACCTACAATGATAATAAAAGACTGAAGCATCTCTCAGATGAGAAGATGAGAGAGCTTGGTTTGTTCAACCAAGCTCTCTCTTCGTCAATGGAAGACTGACAAGTGGGGAATCTTACTGATGTAGACCAGTACATGAGAAGAAGGCAGAGAGTGAGTGAGGCCAATCTGTTTTCAGCAATGCCCAGTGATAGGACAAGAGGCGATAGGTACAAACTGAAAGACAGAAAGGCCCATGTTAACATGTGGTGCTTCCTTGCAGACAGGCAGAAGTTGTCTGGATATGGTCCTAAGCCAGGTGCTCTGTGCGACTGGGCTTGGTCAGAGAGGTGGATTACAACATCTCCAGAGGTACCTCCCAGCCTCCACCATTCTGTGACTTACGAAGTCTATCAGCAGAGTCCCTTTTTAAGAAGCTAAGACAAAATACACACAGAAAGCATTCTTTTAGAATCTCCTTTCGAGGTATCATAAAACCTGAATCTTCATAATAAAATGGTCTATGTTCAATAAAGCCTAGGATTTCTTTATTCAAAAATCATCTCTCGCTGAACAGCGACAACATTAATCCTAAAAAGTAGGAACCTAATATTCCTGTTTCTAAATTATAGCATGTAATCATACTCAAGCCCACACACACAAAAAAAACCCAATATTTTCAGAAATGCCTGATATAATTTTGCAGACTAGGTCCAAATGATATTTCAGTTGCTCTGCAATGGGAAAGTTTATTTAGAAGACTGTGTCAGTCCAAACTAGCCAGATCTACTACTTTTCTCCTTCCATTTTACCTCAGTAAGTGGTGTGTTCAGTAAGAATGCGGATGAGTACTCCAAATCAGTAGTATCAGTATGAAAAAGCAGAATAAAAGCAGAATAATTGATTTTAGAATGTCAAGGTTTAAAACCATCTCTAAACCAACCACTACATCTTAAAGGTAGTACTATCCGTATCTGAATTATCCGAACCTTAAATATATTCAAAAGCTAAACATATCATTTATGTTTGTAAACCAAAGCAAGGCAAAATGCTTCATAAAGTGAAAAATCCTGCCACCACTGAACACTTCTTGAAAGACAGGATTTTAGTTTAGAATTTTGAAAAAAAAAGAAAATCAACATGCTTGAAGAGAAACTACTTCACGCTGCATATTTTTGAACATCTTGTGAACGATTATAAGGGAAAATAATCTAATAAAAATGCATTTGAAAGTATAATTTTACTACTTACAGTTCAATTTCTACTAGACCTTTCAAGCACCCACGCTTTACAAAGAGGCCAACCTACAAAATGAGTTATAGACATTAATATTGCAAATTATCAGTTACTTAAAATGTTATTTTTCACAAAAATATATATTTGTTCATGTAATAAAGTGTTTTTGTTGAAAATTGACGGATAATAATTTTGTCTATTAACAATAGCTAGTAACAAAGGAAAAAATTATGAACTTCTTGATTAACTTGCAGTGCCAGCCCTTCCTCCACAAACTGACAATCTCAATTACTTAACAAAATATAATCAAAGAATCTACAGAAAGGGAGGAGTTTCCATGCAAATGCAAAACAACACTGCCTAATAATAATTCTAACACTGTAAAAGCTACATATAAACATGAAAGGCCAAAAGACAATACCTACATCACTCTAGGTATCAGTTAAACAGCCAGATTTACTTCTCTAAAATTCCAGTGAAACTTACTCCATGTAAAGACAACAACCCAAAAAAAAAGCAAGAATAAAACCTTAAAATTCTGACAGTGCAAATTAAATTTCTACTGTGATGTCGGCACATTATCTTTCGGGAGTACAAGTGAGACAGGTGATCCTACTGAAGACAACAGAAACATTTATTCCCCATCAGCCAGCTTGCATTTAAATCAAAGATTAACAGCTTCAGGCTCTTAGTTAAGTTCTCAAGGCACATCGATGACATCTTTTACTGTTACATATACTCTGAAACTTACATTTGACTTTATTCTAACTTTATTGTAATTCTTATCAACGAAGATTATCTCTTCTCCTTCTGCTGAACTGCACTTCAATGAAATTCAGATTAAAAATGAACATTACACAACTTTTTCCTCACCTTATCAGCTCGCCCTATAAAAGAAGGTTTTCCAGCAAGGCCCAGGCAGATGGCACAAACAATGCTCGATTTTCCTGTTCCATTAGCACCTACGATCATGTTCAAATTGGGTCCTGGATGTACTTCACAGCTGTCATATGTTCTGGAAAATACAATAATTTACTTCTCAAACCATATAAGCACAATGCAACATAAAAAATGTACACTTCTCTTAAAAAAACAAATACAACAAATCATATTTATCATCAACTGTAGACTAAGTTAGATGCACTCCTCAAGTATCAACTTGCAAGAAACCTCACAGTAGAAGAAATGACACCACATTAAAATAACGTGGAGTCAAATACTGTTTGTCACACACCAGTCTCCACAAGAAAAGATTACAAACAATGAAATGACGGACGGAAGGAGGGACGGATGGACAGAAGGAAATCAGSGGAATTCATCCAGGTTTGCTCTATCTGTGTCCAGCTGCCTCTTGCAGTGCAGCCATAGGAGGACACTCCAGTTAGGAGTTGTACAGATGCACACACATACACACACATGCACACACAGACACACGCACATGCACACACACGCAAATATGTAGACACATACACATGTAGATACACACACACGCAAAATGCAAACATGTACAAACATGTACACATACACGTACAYGTAGACACACACATGCACATGTACACACACACAGGTACACGTACGTGCATACACAAACAGGTACATGCACACGCACATACACATCCATGCACACACATACACATGCACATACGTACACACATGCACACACACACGTACATACTTGTACACACGCACACTCGTAAACACATACAGACACACACATACACATGCATGTACACATGCACACACACGCACGTACACACACACGCCCACACG